TCTACAAAAAAAATTATTATAAATCTTTGTACAAATGTTGCTCATCTTCTAATGAAAAAAAAAAACATGGCTGTACTAGTAATGAACCCGTCATAACGAATGAAATGTCACCCACTTGAAGGAATGCAACTGAAATGTGCTTAATAGGATGGTGATCTTTTATAGAAATTTTCTGTTAGTTCATTAGAAGAGGAATTAATCAAACAGCTTCTTATAAATCTTATGGAACTCTCTTGCCATTCTGTTCATATCCCCTAGGCAGGAAGTTCGTAATTTGCATATATAACCATCCTCATGTGTTTTAAGGGTCGACAGGTTGGTAGATTCCGAATATTTTTTTCAGAATGTGCACCTTAAGATGTTTGGCAGAATTACAATCATTTGTAACAAAAAATATTCTGCAATTACAATTATGATTTTTAATTCCTCTTCTTTTTGTCCTAAGAATTTTGAATTACTGAACTCCATTTTCTAAGAATTTTGAATCAACATCTGTTACAAAAATAGAAGAGTTGGAGTATAAACCATAGGTGGGCTTTGTGGGTGTTGGACAAACACAAATGTGCCTGAGCAGGCGTCTGCAGCTGGGATTGGCTAGCTGCCCTAGTAGACAGGCATACTTGGATATGAGTGCATAATGTATATGTATATCTGTATGTATGCCTGTGTACATATGAGTGGCGTTCCAATGGCAACTTTTCCAGCCACTATCATAAAACACTGATATATACAAACAAGAAATAAATCCAAACTTTCAAAATTAATCAGTTTGTCTGATGATCGGAAAGGGTGGGAAACCCAGACATATCAAACTCATATCAATCCAACTAAATATATCCATATATATCTATATCTATCTATCTATATATATCAGAAAATTTGGAAATTCTTAGTAGGTGGTGACATAAGAAGAGCTGGTTATTAGAGCAACATGTTGTAGGTTTTTTAGTTTTTTTTTTGTTATGTGTGTAGGGAGGACAAGCAAAGAGACAAGACCAATGAAAGTAGTTCACCAGATGAAAACCTAGTGAATGTAAAACAATATAAATATGGGCCAAACAGCACCCGGACATTCTTTTAGACACTGCGCAATGAAGCAGTCCACATGTTACGATATGGTCTTGTTTTTTTTTGGTTTTATCAATAAATATTGTTCCATTATTTGCCTTTTTAGCCAGCTTTACCCTGAAGATCCTTTTAGGTGAAACCTAGGTAGGTTTGCATGGCACCTTAGGATTATTTTAGTTTTTGGTCTACGTTTAGTCTTTTACTCGTTTTGGGTTTTTTTTTCTTTGGATTTGGAGCATGAGAACTTGACGAGATGATTCATACAGTGTTATGTTCTTGGTTCATTCTTTTATTTATTTCAATTTTTCCTTGGACATCAATTTGTTATATTACAAATTGAGCTAACCAAGGTTTTTCAAACGAGTATTACCATATATATATATATATATATATATATATATATATATATATATATATATATATGGCCAATGAAAAGGTCTCATGGGCTCCACTGAATCTATGATAAGGGGACCCCAATGTACTACATCTCAATTTTCAAAGTGTAGTATTCATATAAAATACAAATTTTATTGTAACCTAATTACGTACAAAAATGGATCATATGCAATATAGGTGAACAATTCAATTAGAAAAATTGAAAATAAATACATCTAAATACAGACATGTCATTATAGATCATTCCATCTTAAATAAATCTACAATGTTTTGTGGCAATTTTTAACATCAACTTGAGATTTTTCTTGTTAAAAGTTGAATAATTTTAACACATTCAACATAATGGATAAAAAATAGTATTATTTTTTTTATCCATTATGAACTTTAATGTGAATTTCATTTAGTGTTTTGTTTGAGTCTTAGTATAAGCAAGACAAATTTATGGATTTAGTCAAAAGACCCCCAGAATGACATCAAAATCTGCAGAAATGTTTCATCCTTTAATAGTCAGTTGTGCTTAGTTTGATTTGCAAATATATATATATATATATATATATATATATATATATATATATATATATATTTGTGCATTTAGGCAGCAATCCTTCTTTCATGCACATTTCATTGAATATGACAGGCAAGGTGCTTTTTTTACAAGTATATTACGAATAAAAAAAAAATTAAAAAAAATAAAAAAAACTTAAAACCTCTAACCTTATAGTTAAAAATAATAATTCACCTCTTTGAACAAAATTAAATAGGGCAAATATTATTTACGAATTTAAATGCCCATTATGGAGTTGTATTCCTGATCAATCAAAATTCGTAAATAATTATATAGGCCACACTAAAACATGTTTGACACGCAGACTTACTCATCACCTTTCTGACCATAGCTCAATTAGATCTCATTTAAATATTCATGGAGACCTACCGGACACTATTCGTAACATACTTGTTGACAACAATAATATAATAGCATCATCTACATGCAAAAAAAAGGCTAAAAATAATGGAAGCCCTATAAATAAAAACAATAAAAACACCAACACTTAATAATATTAACTTTGAACATGGACACGATATTTTGACCGTGTTTTGAAAAATGAAAACATTTTATAAAACATAGATAGAACAAATTATTTCTTATTTAACAGTTAAAATATTTAATCTTTGAAAATGGCTTAAATGTATAGCCAAAAGCCCTTGGATAAAAAGAACATTCAGACAGTTTTTATATAATTTATCATCCAAAAAGAAAAAAAATTATTAGATCACATGAGAAATTGTATAAAAAACTAAATAAAAGCACCTTGTCTGTTGTATTCAATGAAATGTGCATTTATATATATATATATATATATATATATATATATATATATATATATATATATATATATATGAAATGGTGAGAAAATGACTGTTATCATTGTATATACACAGGTATTGAGCAAATTTTTATGATCAGCTTTTACACAAGAAAATAGTGGGTTGCACTATAGGCAGGTAATTTTTTTTCAAAGACATTAAAAATCAACCATTTTTCGGTGACTGGCTGCACTATACACAGAAGTTCATGTCGAGAAATTCATGGATCACACTATGCATAAAGTCGGCTTATACATAGTAGATACGATATGAGGATACGTCAGATGCTCGAATTAACCCTGGCCTTCTCCTGAATGAGAAGTACTGCTTGGGGGCCATGATACTTCTTAGGGCATATGATATTACTAAGATTTTAAATATACTGGCTGAAACAGAAGGGAAGTTCTTAAAAAAAAAAATCCAAGGAATTAAAAAGAGAGTTTGGACACATCTAGAAAATAAAACGCACATTGGAATCCACCCTCCACCCCCACATACACATGCACACACTAACAAAAAAAAAAAAAAAAAAAAAAAATTTCCCAAAAAGTATTGATGAGAAAAAGTAAATTGGAGACCTAAAAGGATTGTGGGTGTACAAGCTAAATAAATAAAAAAAATAAATAAAAATGAAAAACAAAGAAAGAAAAACACCCGCTTTTTTTTTTAAATGTTATGACCTTTACAAAAAAAAAAAAAAAAAAAATTTCTTAGAAAAAATGGCCACCATTTTTTGAGCCCAATAACTTCATTTTTTCCTGACTCGTCCAACAAGACTAACAAGTTGTGCTAGTAGGCTGGTAAGTGATACAGTCAAAGTGCGTCATTTTGTGGGACAGGACCTTTCTCTGAAGATCTGGTTATTAAGAGGAAAACACACATTATATCTGTCATCATCCTCTCATTGCCTAGAGCCCCAAATATTGCCAACATATACACACCCACATCCTGCAAATACTAGAATAAAGGGAATATTTAAAAAAAAAAAGACATCCCTGTTGGTAAACATCTCTCTCAGGAAATTCAGATAAATCTAACTTAGACAGATAGATAGATAGATAGATAGATAGATAGATAGATAGATAATGAATAGACATTCTACCTCAGTTGTTTCTCTTCTGTTCTATCTCAACCTGTATATATATATATATATATATATATATATATATATATATATATATCACAGTTTGTTCGTTTCTATCTATCTCAGTCCATTCATATCTATCTTTACCACTTTGTTCATATCTATCTATTTCAGTCTATTCTATCTGCCTATTTATCTATTTCAGTGTATTTCTATCTATCTATCTATCTATCTATCTATCTATCTATCTATCTACTTATCTCAGTCTATTCCTATCTATCTATCTATCTATCTATCTATCTATCTATCTATCTATCTGTCTATCTCAGTCTATTCCTATCTATCTCTGTTAATTTGTTCATGTCTATAAATATATATGTCTCTGACTGCCAGAAAAACTAACTTACAATCATTTTTTTTAACCTTGATGTGTTGTTCTTATCAATTAGTAAGCAGGAGAGAAGTTAAAAGTAATTCATAATAATGACAAGACTTTATTCATTGAAAGTCAAATAACTTAAGAAGACTCTTAATACAGTTTGATCAAAAAGTTTTTGACACAAATTCTCCAAAAACTTGTTTTTTCTTGAAATTTGATCAAATTGAATAAGTGATGGTTAACAGATGTAAAACACAAAAAACAAAAAAAAAAAAAAACTTTTTTCAAAGATTTTCTCAAAAAGAAAAATTTCATAAACAATTTCATTCATTTGTGAATAAGCCCTGAGAGTATCATTAAAATCCAATATTTATCTGGTTTTTGCAAGAATTTCCAAATCAGCATTTTTCACTGTAAAATGACCCTTAAATTTCCCATATTAATCTATTTACCCGTTGATGCATGAAAAAGAAAATTTTTAACATTATAAAAAAGATAAAAAAATATAATTTAATAATCAAAAAAAAAATCCTTCTCTCTTTTTAGCTGAATAACTTAAAGGGTTTTTCAAAAATCCTTACAGAAAATGGTGTCAAGATAGCTAAACGACTTATCTGAAAACCTGGAAAACAGTGACACAGTTAGTTTAATGGCTTTTTAAATATTAAACATTTTGTGGGATGGATAATTAGGCTGTTACATGATTCAGTCCATTTTGATGTTACACCCAGTATAGATAGATAGATAGATGTGAACAGAGAGACAGATACATGCATACATAAATGTAAACAGATAGATATGAACAGATACATACATATGAACAGATAGATAGATAGATAGATAGATGTGAAAAGATAGATGTGAACAGATAGATACATAGATAGAAAGAAAATGAGATAGATAGATAGATAGATAGATAGATAGATGTGAACAGATAAATACATAGAAAGAAAAAGAATGAGATAGATAGATAGATAGATAGATAATGGACAGGCTATGATAGATAGATAGATAGATAGATAGATAGATAGATAGATAGATATGACAGTTAAATACAAGCAACTTGTCTGGGTTACAAGAAGATCAGATGGCTCAAAAATTCTTGTCACCGACATCAAGAATAAAAAAAAAGAATGAAAAAGTAAGAATGGAGAACTGAGAGGGAGTAATACCATTCCAGTGGTAGCTTCAACTGTGTATGTCCATTCTCTAGTTTTATTTTTTGTTTTTGCAAAGACTTTTTCCTTGGACATGTTTTGGCGGCACAAAAGAAAGAGGAATGATGAAGAAAGCTGATAGAATCTCCCAGAAAATTCAGGCGACATTAACAGTTAGACATTGACGGAAATGGGAAGATTTTTATCTGGTTAATGATTTTGACAAGCATAAAGAAAGAAAGAAAGAAAGAAAGAAAGAGAGGGAGGGAGGAAGAAAGAAAGAAAGAAGGGAAATGAAGAAAGAAAAATGAAGAAAGTAAGAAAGAAAGGGAATAAAGAAAGAAAATGAAGAAAAAAAAGGAAGAAAGAAAGAAAGGGAATAAAGAAAGAAAATGAAGAAAATAAAAAAAAGAAGAAAGAAACAAAATTCTTTGAAGTCAAATGTTTTCTGTTCGGCAAAAAATTATATCTTTGCTTCCTTGTTTTTATTCAATTATTTTTTCTTACAGATTCAGTATCCTTTTTCTCTCCCTGTTTTTCAATTATTTTTTTGTTTTACTAATGTTCCGAAGGTCAGAGAGCCACTGAATAATAATATTCATAATTGTAGGGTGAGTGTCCATGGTAAAATATAAATGACAGAACTGCCCAACAAACAGAATTGATAAAATTTGCAATAAACAACAAGAAAAAGAAAAGAACAGGGCAAAAAATAATATAAAGCAATCAAACAATATATGCATGACAAATAAACAGTAATACGGCAAAGCAACAGTAATATGGCAAAAAGTTTTCAAACTAAGCATTGGGGTTGACACACAGGAGCAAATTCGGATAAGCGAATGTAATGTTCTGACTCCAAGACAAGACAAATCAGAACTGAATCATATGAAATCGAGAAATGGCCTATTTTATTTGTGTGTGTCTACCTATAAATTGTGGTCGAGAAAGTGTTTTGTAGTCATTCCAAATTGGAACCAACAACAATAATAATAAGTGAAATTAAAATTAACATTACTAATGTTTCCAAGCCCCAAGAGCCACTAAGTAATAATAATAATAAGTTGATTTGGCTGCAGATGTCCAGAACTGAAAGAAGCAGAGGATTAGTTCAACTAGAACTCTCTTACAAAAACATAACAATTGGTCTTCAAAGATAGCAGGAAACTAAAGGAGATTGATCTGTGTCAAAGAACATGAAAGAAATAAGAAACTTTATTCAGAAGCCAACAAGTTCAAAATGGAGTTTCAAAGGCCCAAGGCCCACTCAATAATAATAATAATAATGATGATGATGAGTGAAATAAGAATTTCCTTTTAAACCGATATGAAAATTGCTTGGTACTGTATACCAGATATTTCCTAAGATTTTGAGGAACTTAAGGAGCAAAGGGTTCTCCAAGGAAAAAAAATATATGCAATGCATTAATATTATGTTGCCTTGCTGTGAAGCAGTAGACAGAAACAAGATAGTCTTGGAAACTATTATTAGTACTATAGTGAATCCAAACCTTACTGGGTACTCAGTGCCATGACCTTGATGCCAGACAAAGACAACTTTTGCACATTTATGAAGCATTGGATTAAGTGCTGCTTTTGGGTGTTTCAATGATGAATTGGTATCATCATCTGAGGAATTTTATTCTACAAGAACAAAATCTAAATTTGCAAAACAAAATGTGATTTAGATTCTGAATTCTTTACACTTTATACTATTTACATTATTTAGACTGTTGCCCTCATCTTTATTGTCAAATTCACGATGTTTCGGCCTTCTTCAGGTTATATACATTTGAATTTCGAATCAAACCCTCTATTTAGTCCACAGTTAGTTCCACATGCCATACATTTTCTGTATATCTTAGTTTCAGTTACCTCAACTCTCCAAATTTTTGATCACCTCAGCTGTGGCCAGATATTGAACTCACAACACTTTGGGTCAAGTCACTGGATTACTTCAACCAACCATTGGGCTGTACATCAGTGTATGAATTTTTGGTGCTTATAAACCTAATATCTCAGTAACCAATTTTTAATCACCTGAAGAAGGCCAGAGTGTACAATGGCTGAAACATTGTGAATATTACAATAATGGTGAGGACAACATTCCAGATGATGTAAATAGTTGTAATAGTTCATCTCAGAAATATCGACAGATCTGAATTCTTGATTTTTACTTTAAGTGCATCATGCTGGAATAGATGCCGTATGATAAGCTCACGTAAAAACGAGGTTCCCCCAATGCAAGCTGTGAAAATACTTCAAGGTCAACCATAAAGATAAATTTTAAAAAGGTGGCTAGTAACAAGCTGGAAACATCTGGCAATCAGGCAGGGAGGTATAAAGAAATCTGACTGCTGTTGTTGAAGAATTTGATTATGGCACTGTTGTTATTGCTGTGCTGAATTGAGCTGGTCTGGAAGGCATCAAAAACAAGCGGTAGATATCTGGAAGACATCACTAATGAGTTGGTAGATATCTGGAAGATGTTACAAATGGGAAGGTACATATTTGGAAGAAGTCACAAATGAGTCAGAAGATATTTGGAAAGTGTCACAAACAAGCTGATGAATATCTGGAAGATGTCACAAACGAGCTGGTAGACATCTGAAAGATATCCCAAACAAGCCAGTAGATAGCTGAAAGATATCACAAATGGGCAGGTCAATATCTGGAAGACGTCACAAACGAGCTGGTAGATGTCTGGAAGACGTCACAAACAACCTGGTAGATATCTGGAAGACGTCACAAATGATCCAGTAGATGTCTGGAAGACATCACAAACGAGCTGGTAGATGTCTGGAAGATGTCATAAACAAGCTGGTAGATATCTGGAAGGCATCACCAACAAACTGCTAGATATCTGAAAGATGTTACAAATGAGCTGGTAGATATCTTGAAGATGGGTACAAAGTTTTGTTTCAATTCTACTTTAGTAAGAATAGGCATTGAACTGAAAGTCTCACTGTATATTCATATAAGGGATTTCATAGATCGTATCATTTTCATCTTCCTTTGAGTAAATTATATTAATTTTTTTTTTATTTAAATGGCATTTTTCAGGTCAAAATTGGATTATAAATTTTCAATGGCATACAAACCCAATGTAGATTTTGTTGGAAAAAAAAAATTTTTTTTCTGATATAACCATTCAATCAGCCTTCCAAATTGTTTAATACACTAAACATAACTATGTTAAAAATAATAATAAAATAGAAAAGTTGTTCCTGAAACACAGTATATCATAGGCAGGATTTATTATAGAAATGCATCAAAAATTGCTCTTACATAGACACTGAGAAAAATGAAATGCTTATCAACAATAATAATGTTTGTAGTAATATATCCAACTCTCTCGTTGTATTCAACGTATGACAGTCAAGCAGACACCAGCATATGTGATCTGATTATAGTGGTGAAAGTTTTGTGCAGAACCAACCACACTTTTTGAAGGGCCAAATACAGAGACCTGGTGCACTACATGCTGCAAGGTCCTCAAACGACCCTCTGCAGGTTTTGAATTCAGAGTTGTCCTTCTCCTAGACCAGTTGCCATCCAAGGCTATAGAACCCAGTCTGTCATGCTATTTATCAATAGCTGGAGGGGAAAAGAAAAGGATTAATACCTTTCCCAAGGGTATTAGCATATAGGTGAATGCAATGGATTTGACTGGAATTAAAATTCAGCTCTCTGATTCCTCAATCCAAGCTGCTATCCATTACTCCACCATGCCTCCAAAACTATATATATATATATATATATATATATATATATATATATATATATATATATAATTTAACCTATGAAGTTGTGCTATGGGTGAGGACAAAATTGTATATATATTATTAATATAAATTATAGCTCTTTTATTAAACATCGAGCACTGTTTTATTAACAACAGCACTCAATGTGCAATATTATATATATATGTATGTGTGTGTGTATATATATACAAACCCTACACAACATAGGAAGTGTGTGTATGTGTGTGTGCGTGTGTGTGTGTGTGTATGTGTACATATGCATATCCTAATTCTTTATAATACGACAGTACATATATATGGAGAGGGAATATACATATGCGTACGCATGCTGAGAAAAACAAAAAAAAATGGAAATAGATCTAAGAACACACAGGGGGTCATTAAAAGATAAGAATATATAGATATCTTTCTCACCCTTTCTCGGACCAGACTTAATTGTTTTATTATTTTTCACGCAGAATTCTTTCAGTGCCAGTTCAAGAAAGACATTTGGGTCACTAACGCACAAAAAAGAGAATATCTAATATCGAGAATATTCAACATCGAAAAACATAAGAAAAATGAATTCCTTTTAATAATATGTGGAAATATCCACTCTTTGCCTGATGAAGATCGCGAGACCAGAAACTCGTGTAGCAAAATTATGGAAAATAAAGCATAATATATTTTAAAAAATCTGCATTTAAAAATCTAAAATGTTTGCAGTTTCTCTCTTCTTTTTATTATACACTTTTCTCTTGTTTGAAATACTATAACCTCTTCCCTTTATATATATATATATATATATATATATATATATATTTACCTAAGTATATGATTGGTGTATTTGGAATAAATTTCAATAACCAACAATTACTATTCTTCTATTCTAACATAATTTCAATGAGGAAATAAATTGAATAACATATGTATTTTTTCTTTTCTCCTCAGTAATTTTAAACTTAATAGAGATTAAATTTAGATTTTAAAGAGGGTAATTTTTTACTTTTAATTTTAATATCAAATTTTATCATATAATTTAATACTTATTGGTTAGAATAAATTTTTTTTTTAATATAAACCCAATTTTAAAAATTTTTTATTTTTGAAAATAAAAGATTTATATGCTTTTTGGTCTATCCATGTGTTATATATAAATATATGCAACAATGCATGTAAACACACACACATATATATATATACATATACATACATAGGTGTGTGCATGTATATATATATATATATATATATATATATATATATATATATGTATATACACCTAGTGAGCCAGACAAACCTACCTAGGTTTCGTCAGTGAAAATAAGCCTTACTTTCCCTGACGATCCGTTTAGGTGAAACCTAGGTAGGTTTGTCTGGCTCACTAGGTGTATCTAGGTCTGCTCTACGGTTGTATTGAGTGCTTTTATTAGTTAGTTGTTTACTTATATCAGGGTTTTTTCTTTGGGCTTCAGACCTGTATCTGGGCGATTTTTTTGGTGGCAGAATTTCATGTTTGTAGCTTTTTCTTTTTTTAAAACCTTTTTTTCCCTCGAGATTGATTTGATTATTAACAAATCAAAAATTCAAGGGTTTTTTGAAATGAGTCTAGTTATCTATAATTATATATAAACTGGAAAATTTAAAAAAAAAAAAAAGCAAACCTTACAATATATATGAAAAATAAAAGATTTATATGTTTTTTGGTCTATCCATGTGTTATATATAAATATATGCAACTATGCATGTAAACACACACACACACATATATATATGCATATACATACATAGGTGTGTGCATGTGTGTGTGTATATATATATATATATATATATATATATATATATATATAAATAAAGATCTGATTGTAAACTGGAAAATTAAAAAAAAAAAGCAAACCTTACAATATATATGCTCCTGAAAAATTTATTTCGGTTGAGCTCTCTGGGGAGGAAGTGTGGGTTTGTAAACAGTGACTATTACGGCTAATAATACAAGACTCCTCAGTAAATCAAATCAAGTTCTCTCAGTCACTGTGTGTTTATCTAAAAATAAATATGCTTTAATTCATCTTCATCCCTGCCGTGTGCCAACGGCTTAGTAGTAAAATCCCTGACTGATACCAATTTAGTCAGGTTTCGACTAAGCCACACTGATGAAACAGCGAAACAGTCTGTCTATGGATGACAATATATATATATATATGTAAGCAAATGTAAATGGATATAGATCCGACAGAATGAAGAAAAATTTGGAAAAAACAAACAAAAATCCTTAAATGCAATTATGTTGTTTAAAATGAATGAAATGTCAACGTCTGACGTTTTGGTTTAATAAACGGAAAGCTGATCATTTTAAAAATTTTCAGTTATTTGTTTTGGATAAGACTTGTTGTTCATGTCCATCGTCTTTGTCAAATTGAACTGAATTGTATTTTAATGAATATTGTCTTTTAATGTTTGTGTATAACTGAAAATGTATATGGAGGTGTCTTTTTTGTCTACAATACTAAGAAAAATTAAATATAAAGTCTAGTTTTTTTTTTAAAAGTATTTCTTTCCACCTGTGTTTGTCTTAACCAACCACACAGTACCCTCTACCACACCTGACCTGAGTGGGGGTACCACTGAAGGTGACAAAATGACAGGTGTATTATGTACTTAGTGACTAAGTCACCAGCCATCATTTCGACAGTTCCCTAACATTCATCCACAGGCTAATAGTATGCTTGTCAAGCAAGTCAGTATCCACCCCTCTAGCCTATTACTGTCATTTGGGATATTTGCCAAAGGTAAAGCCGTCAAGGAGCCAACATACTCATTCTTGCAAGCACAATATAAA